GGAAAAGGTTCAGAGTAGGGCTACCACAATGATAACTGAAATGGAAAAGAAGTTAAGGTCTTTGAAATTGTTTTTTCTTGATAAAAGAAGAGTTATAGGGGGTCTGATGGAGGTGTTTAAGATTATTAAGGGAATTGATAGATTTATAAGCACAATGAAGTGGTTTATTTTTGTGAGAAGAGAGACCAATGTTCTGTTAAGACAGGTAGTATGTTCCCCAAAAGATAAAACATTTCATTATGCTTATAAATTGTTGTTTGTAAATTTAGTTTTATAATTAATAGCATTGATGCATCATCTTTTTTGTACTTAATGGTGAGAATGGTAAGACTAAGGGACACAAATATAAATTTTGGTAGAGTAGGTGTCATCATCAGCTAAGATGTCTTTATTTTTCCAAAAGGGTGGTTGGCTTTTGGAATGAGTTGATTTCAGATGTGGTGGATACAATTAATTTAAGGGAGTGGGAAGGCTTGATAAATATTTAAATGATAAGGGCTGGCTGGGTTTGAGTGTTATATTTTCATTTTATAGTTTAGTAGATTGGATAGCCTATATGGACCAATATGTCTCTTGTTCCCCTTAAATTATATGTACATAACTATATATGCATATGGGATTGATCTAACTATGCTGGTGAGAGGTGATAATGATAGTGCTAGAAATATCAGCAAAATGTCAAATATGTTTAATATTTTAAATTTCTTTTTGTGTTACTTAGTTACTATTAACACAGACCAGTGAAATTATACAAATGATTTTAAGTCCATTAAATAAATTAAATAATGATAGGTTTTTTCCTATATCTACTATACTAATATTATTAATAATTAGTGTGGCTTGTTTTCTTGAAAGAAATTGGTGTGTCTAATTATATATTGAAAAATGTTTAGTAGATACTTGGAAATTGAGAATGTGTATACAGTAACAAGGCTTAATTATTTTATAATTTTCAAATTTGTTTATGGCTCTCAGATCCTGATGACTGTATGTATGAATGATTTATTATTAATACACTTTTGCCTCAATTTTATTGTTTTAACTTTGTTTTGTATATTTCTTTCTTTTCAGGGTGAATAAGTGCTAAGGCTTGGGAAGAGACAAAAGAAGTATATGTTTCACAATTCTGTAGAAGTGTAGTCTTCTTTTGTGGCACACTGTAAACAAATTGCAGTGTTTTAAAAAATTTAACCATGTAACTGCATTTTCCTGTTTAGTAAAACGTAAATATGTACATTGAGTAAACCAACAGTAGCATTGTGACTTTTATGCTGCTCATGCATTAAACAGCCAATGTATTGGAAAAGACATGGTTGTAGAAGTAAAAAATTGAGTTATAAATTGTTTCCTTTTGAATGGTGTTACACTATGGAACAGCCTAACCTGCTTTGAGTTTAACAAAACTACTTACATTTTTTGTAGTGTAATTGTTTTCATACTAGAATCCATGGAATGGAATTCTAAATGGTTTTCAAACATATATTACAGGAATTGTGTTGAGAGTCACACAGTATTACTTCTACTTATTTCAGAGAATTGACTTATATTAACTTCTGATCAAAGCAAGCTACCTACTGAAACTAAAAATAAACCCGGTAATAAAAATAGTTAACTAAATCTATTGTTCTTACTTGCAATGATTAGAGTGCATTGTTTCATCAATTAAGTATTATTTCTGTTAGTGATATTTCTGGCTGTAATCAAAATAATGTAAAAATGTATAGTTCTGATTTCTTACGTGAAACTACTCATAAGTTTACTACACCACAGATAAGAACCAAGGTATAAAAGTTTAGACTAATGTTCAGTATTTATAAACATAAGCCTATATGGAAGAACTTATTATATCTGTATTGCAAATAAAGCAGATGTGGGTACAGAGAAGTGTAATGGAAAATGAACACTAGAAAAGTGTAAAGATGTTGGTTAGTGGTATGGCAAGTCAAGCAGTCATTTCAGGGCAAGTAGTGAAAGTGTATGTCACTGTAAATGTTCTCCTCCTTTATCTAAATCTTCTACTAATCAAAATCCACCTTCATAAAATCACATTAGTTGAAACACATAAGTTGACAAAAGTTTAAAGGCCTGTTTGAAAGAACTGGATTAGATGAGAAGATAAAATACTATGAAAGTGAAGTGAAAGTTAAACTATTCTATGTTGGCAAAAGATGTTACACAGCCAACAAAGTGACAAAAGAAGTAGTGCTTTAATAATTAAAAAAAAGAATATTGTGACAAACAAATTTAAATATTCTTTCCAGTTAATGTAGGACAGAAAGTGTATAACTTAGTGCATCTTGTTTACAGATATAACTGAAAACAATAAACAAGGATTTCTGAGGATAACCTGGATATCTTGAAACATGTAGAGTTTTAGACCTTTGGTGGTCTCAGAATAAAGATTTTAAGTTGTGTATTTTAAAAAGTTGATTGTGTAAGTATTTTAATCCGGGTTTTACACAAGTTCCTTGAACTTTACTCTTAAGGATAAACCTTTCATTGCCACGTTTAAAGATAAGAAACTCCCAGTGTCAGGTAGAAATACAAGAAAAAAAACATTAATATTTCCTTACTTACCTGAAATTTGAAACTAATTTTTTGTAGCTTGAAAAGTAACATTTTTTCTTCTTGGTGGTACAGAATTCTAAATTCGTATGACAGCACTTCATATATATGTGTGTGCACATGTTTGTGTTTATAGTAATAAATTATTATCTTTCATATGAAGAGATCATTTTTAAAGAGTCTAGAGTAAACAATATAGTATTGATTAAAATGTGAATTTTTCATTTGCAGCCCTGGAATTCAGTATTCTATTTACTTGAGCTGCAGTGTTTATAGTGGATATATCTGTATTATGTTACTCTGTTTTTCTCTAGCTGTTTGGATTTTTTCATTCATTTTATTATTCACGTGTACTTATATCATCACTGACAACACAGAGACAGGAAATGCATGTATTGTGTGACTGTTATGATACCTAATTAATCTAAATCAAACATGTTCAGTGACTTGTACATAATATATGCAATAATCTCAATCTCAGTTTTGTGCTTGCAACAAGGATTACAAGACTAGAAATTTAGAGAAACTTAGTTTTTACCCCAAATCTATTGATTTATTTAAACCAGCAAAACTTTGAAGTAGTATAATGATTGTTTCTAAAGGAAAATTTGCACAACAGTGATATGTACTATTTGGGCTTGTAGAATTGTTTATCTGCAGAAGAGGGAATATATTATTTCTGAGACATCTACACTTGGAATTAGTATTTTATACTGTACATGTGTGACTAAAGTGTGTGAAAATTATAATGTACATAAATCTATATTGGCTGTACTATTTAGCTCACCGATATATGTAGGGACTGAGATACTGCTATGAAATACAGTTTTTAATATTAATTGTTTCAACATACGTATGGCTGCTTAGAATGCACTTAACAGTTAATTTCATAGTTCAAAAGTCTGTTTTTCTGATTTAGTATTAAGTGCTTACTGTAATTGTGACTACATGTTGGAAGTTACCCAATATGAGTCGTCTTCGTGTGGTCATAACTGACACAAACAAAAGAAATGTGAAAGTTGCATTGAATGTGAGTAATTATTTTTGAGTGAAGGTTCATAAAAACTACATGTAAATTTTGTCTGTATAGAAATTATATAGTTTATTACATTAATTTTCAGTTTCCCAAATACTAAAACTTGTAGAATAGTTTAAGCACATAGTCAATTATGTATTTGTATGCTTAACACCAATGAACAAATGGTTCAATGAGATGCCTTAAGTTATGTCCTTTCATGTTTTACTTAAAGTACAGATTGTCCATTATGTATGTAGTTTTATGTTTAACAACAAACAAATGTTTCTCTGAGATGTTTTAAAGATGTACTGAATACGTCAACTTTCCATTGAAGTTATATAAGTTACCTGCTTGTCAAAAGAACATATTACCATATATACAGAACAAATATTAAGGGAAATAGTAAACAGTTTCAGAAGTAAACAGAATATTCAGACAATAATTGAATGGAGATCAAGAATACTCGGATACTGAATAATATGAAATTTGTAATAAGTGACAAAGATGGGAACTTTTAGTTGGATGCTGGATGAAGACAAACTTGACACCTCTAAACTCTGGTAATTTGGTGGTACAGATTTATGGGTTTGCTATCGTTGGACATGTTTTTCCACACCATTTTATCTAGAGCAATCATTTTAATGAATGTGATGAGATTTAAAAAGCTCAACAAATATAAGCACAAATTTTTACCAGTTTGGTATATTTCATTTGGATTTATTACAAAAAGCTTCCAATGCTATTTTACGTTTCAACATAAGGCTATTACATTTCATGTCATATGTGAAGAGTTAGTGTCGGTTGGAAGTTTGCTGGATAGTTTTGCTGATTCTTTGAGTTTTTTCATTTTCCAGCATAAAGCTGTTCCTTGAACTGCAAGCTTACCCCAGATTGATATGTGGCAAATTTGGTAATAGTGTTCTGCTAAGGTGGACTTTTCTAGATTCTTTCTGGGTTTATTAAAGAATCGCCATGGAAACAAGGAACTTTGTAGGTTATTGTTGTTGTTGGTTTTTGTTTGCTTGTTGTTTTGGTGAACCTGCTCATTGTTTGGATTTGAAGTAACTTGGAGTTGAACTTATGAACTTATTTTTCATATTATGGTTTCAGTTTTTTAAATTAATTTTATCAGGGTGAGTATTTAAAGTAAACCAGGAGTTGGACTTGTGTCTACCTCTACTAAAAGTATTTTGGTATCTGTGGTATTGTGGTTTTAGTTTTTGGACTTGCTTTGTTATCAGAGTGAGTGGTGTTTGTAATAAACCAGGAATTAAACTTGTGTCAACGTTTCTGACATTATTTGTGGTATCTGTTTGAATGAAGATTGATATATTTAAGCTGGTATTGATGTAGATTCATTATTGTTTTTAGTTTGTGTGAAGTTTGAAGTGGGTTGTATGTGAATTTTTAAAATGTGGTGAAGTTTATTCCTTTGGATGGGAATGTCTGTATGGTTTTGTTTCCAGTTATCTGTGTATTTAGATGGATTTAGGAAGTTGAAATAAAGTTAAGAAAGCTTTTTTTTGTCTCGTTTTTGTTTTGTAACTACATTGCGAGTTTCGTCTATATGACATTTAGAGATCTTGAGTTTTAATGTAACATTTCCCCATGAAAACCATGCATGTGGAAACCACTTGTTTGTACGGAGTAAGTGGGGTTGTTACCTGCAAAATAATAGTTTCTTTCTTAGCTAACTTTGGATCAGAAGTTCTTATAGGAAACACATTGAGACATCAGAGCTGATTACTAGATGTTCTTCAACGTTTTTTGGTATATTCAGTATTTTCGATACTGGAAGCCGATCTAGCTGTTTACTGGTTAAATGTTTTTAGAAAGCAATGTGCCTGACGAAAGAGACTGTGGCCCTGACTATCGGGTTCGTTAAGTTTTGGTAGTTAATTAGCTTTGGTGACTTGCTTTCATTATTCAGCAACTGTTTGAAGTTTTTCATTCTTCTATTACAGGACTTACATTTTACTTAATAATACTCTGACTTTAATTACAGGAAAATCACTAACCTGATTTTATGGAGTCAAGCTAGAATTAAAGATGCATATATTAGAAGAGTAACAATACATTATAGTAAAACTTGATTCACTTAGTATAAAATTACTTCTATTATCAGCAGAGTCACATTCTAAACAAATACATTAATGCGGCAATAATCTTATGTTATATACAGCGGAAATAACAATGAAGTTTTTAAAGTCGTTTAATTAAATCTACGTTGTTTGATATTACATGTTCTCGACATTTGGTTAATACCAGTGCTTTTAAATTAGTTAATTACTTAAACACTAGATAGCAATAACGTACACATTATTGAACTGCCAAACGGAAAGCAGAAAAGCTCCTTTTTTCAGTTTCATATAAAATACAATTTACCATTAACATAACATTTTATAGGGTATATCGTACAGCAGAATAAGACTTACGTATGGCTGACAAGTTTTGTAAACTATAAGCTCAGTAGTGCAGCCCCCCAGTGGCACAGCGGTATGTCTGCGGACTTACAACGCTAGAATCCGGGTTTCGATACCCGTGATAGGCAGAGCACAGATAACCCATTGTCTAGCTTAGTTCAAATAATGTCTGCTGCTTTATCACCGTTTTTATATGTTCTTTTACGTATAAAATCAAAACCTATATCTTGAGTAAGTCCGTTTTAACATGTCTTGCTGACCACGAGAATGCTTAGAACCTGCAGAGTCTTAACTTTTGTAGTTCGATATTTAAACCCGGATTAAAATACACAATCATCTTTTTAAAATGCACAACTTAAAATCTTTATTCTGAGACCACCAAAGGTCTAAAAGTCTACATATTTCAAGATATCCAAGTTATCCTCAGGAATCTTGTTTATTGTTTTCAGTTATATCTGTAAACAAGATGCACTCATAAAGCGTGGCTAGCATTCTACAAAACCGTTACTAATTATCAAACTCTTTAAAAACATTATCTACGAAAGAAAAAAAAACGAAAAATACTCCCAACACAAAAATTGATATCTTTTAAAATTGCAATTGACATAATTATGGCTTAAATTCCATTAAGTATCAACACGGTAAAATATCGAAATATACGTAAGTTATAGTAATAACTGATTTTTTCGTAAGTCGGTCAAGACTGATATTTGATAATTTGTGTCTGGCGCTACCTACTGGTAATGTAACTTCAATTTTAAATGAGTCGTCTAGTGGTATATCCTTTTTACTTTGATTTACTTTTTCTACTGTACAGAAAATCATTATAGGTGTGAAAAGATCCTTATTTTGTAAGCATGTGCTTATCGGTTTATCGAGATGGTTTGAATGAATGCATACTCTTACTTTATCTTTACTATCTATGTAGATGTTTAGTTGTATCGTCCACTATGTTTTGAATTTTAGTATTGAGAGTGGCCTAAATATTTTTGAGTCAGTGTAATTTAGGATTAAAAGAAATATTGTAAGTATTAGAAGCTGCATTATACTTTTTAACTCTTCTACTCGCAGACTTTCTAACGATAAATTATCTGTCTTCCTTGTGAGAACGTTTAGTAGATACCTGTAAAAGACTACTCGCAGACTTTCTAACGATAAATTCTCTGTCTTCCTTGTGAGACCGTTTAGTAGATACCTGTAAAAAACTACTCGCAGACTTTCTAGCGATAAATTCTCTGTCTTCCTTGTGAGAACGTTTAGTAGATACCTGTAAAAGACTACAAGCAGACTTTCTAACGATAAATTCTCTGTCTTCCTTTTGAGAACGTTTAGTAGATACCTGTAAAAGACTACAAGCAGACTTTCTAACGATAAATTCTCTGTCTTTCTTGTGAGAACGTTTAGCAGATACCTGTAAAA